CCTTTCCTTCTCTCCCTCCTTCCTGCCATCTCATTCTTTCCTTTCCTCTTTCTTTCTTTCTTTCTTTCTTTCTTTCTTTCTTTCTTTTCTTTTCTTTTCTTTTCTTTTCTTTTCTTTTCTTTTCTTTTCTTCCTTCTTTTTCTTCGTTCTCTTTCTTTCACCTCAGATCTGTGCGTTCCCCACCCCACATAGCTAGCAATCTGAAACAGTCCAGTGGCACCTTTAAGGCCAAGATTTATTCAGTACAAGCTCTCCCTCCTCTGTGAGGACAGATTTGTGTGGGACACCCCCCCATAGCTAGCAATCCAAAACAGTCCAGTGGCACCTTTAAGGCCAAGATTTATTCAGTACAAGCTCTCCCTCCTCTGTGAGGACAGATTTGTGTGGGCCCCCCCCTCAGCTAGCAATCCAAAACAGTCCAGTGGCAACTTTGAGACCAAATTTTATTCAAGTACAAGCTCTCCCTCCTCTGTGAGGACAGATTTGTGTGGGACACCCCCCCATAGCTAGCAATCCAAAACAGTCCAGTGGCACCTTCAAGACCAAGGAAAAAAGGAGAAATTACGGCTGAGGGCTGACATGATCGAGGTTTATAAGATTATGCATGGGATAGAGCAGGTTGAGAAAGAAGTCCTTTTCTCCATTTCTCACAATACAAGAACTCGTGGGCACTCCATGAAATTGCTGAGCAGTCAGGTTAGAACAGAAAAAAGGAAATATTTCTTCACCCAAAGAGTGAAGAAATTCACTGCCACAGGAAGTGGCAGCAGCTACAAGCATGGATGGCTTCAAGAGGGAATTAGATAAGCATATGGAGCAGAGGTCCGTCAGTGGCTATTAGCCACAAGGTATAGATACTCTCAGGCTGGGGCAAGTGATGCTCTGTATTCTTGGTGCTTACGGGGGCAATGGTGGGAGGGCTTCTAGTGTTCTGGCCCCACTAGTAGACCTCTCCCTCCTCTGCGAGGACAGATCTGCACGTCCCCCCCCAATAGCTAGCAATCCAAAACAGTCCAGTGGAGCCTGAGCGGTGGGTGTTGCCTTCTGACACATTTCCGGTGATGTCAGGGGGTGTGGCATATGCAAATAAGTTATGCTAATAAGTTATACCAATGAGCTCCTGCACCTCTTTTTCTACAAAATGACCCCTGCCCCAAGGTATTTGGATGTGGTTTTCAGCTGCACTTTTTCCTCCCAGTTGAGAAAATGTGGAGCAAATGCTAGATGCAGAATTGCCCACAGTGTCTACGTAGGTGTAAAGTTGTGATACCAAATGTGGCTCCAATTTATGAGTTCTTAGCATCCATTTGCTTCTTTCTCAAATTATCTGCTCCCTCAACCAAAGAGCCAATCCTGGCTTTCCTCTACCTTATTGGAGCACATTTGCGTCTGCAGGAAGCACATCTCTAATGCTTGGTTTGCAACTTCCCAGCATTTTGTGATTGGCTGTCCCCAATTGTAGCCATTTTGTGATTGGTTCTAGCCTCCATACCAGCCATTTTGTGGCAGACCCATTAAACGTTCTCAGTATTTAAAAAACTGGCCACAGGCTCGTCTTTGGCCCAATCTGCATCTAGCAGTTGCTCCGCTGTTTTACCAAACCCACACTGGAACAGTAAAATATGCGGCTCAAAACCACATTCAAATACCCCGGGCCAATGCCATACTGACTGCAGACTCACCCCTGAATGGCTATAAAATGGTCATAAATCTATGCAGACAGCTACCATAAAACTGAGAGATCAAACGAAGTGAAAGCAGCATGCAGTCTGGACACTGCCATAAAATCCAACAATCAAAGTGAAAGTGGCATGCAATGTAGAGGGGAATTTCTGTTCCAGAATGGGTTTGGTAAAACAGTGGAACAAATGCTAGATGCGGATTGGGCCAATATTGGGGACTAGTGCTGTAAAAAATCTCACACATTCTTTCTCTTGAGACTTGATCCAACACAGGATTGTGCCGGGGACTCTTTTGAAAGGCATGGGTGCATCCTTAATAGGTGCACTTTAGTCGGAAAATCTACCAGAACGGGATTCCAGAGCTTTTGTAAGTCATGACCGCGGACCCTACCTGCTTCCATAGAGGAGGAGGGCTTTACCTTAAGTAACTTGCTTTCACAGCATGTGGAAGATCCTTACTTGTTACTTCTAAATTATCAACCAAACTGCATGTCTGGCCACTGGTTACTTTCCAAGATGTTGTCAAAGCACACCAAAAGAGTACACAGAACCAAATTCACAGGTTACCCCTTAAAACATGCCTCAGCCCTACAGCATCTGGTGACACACATGTGCATAAACAGACACAGAAGCTCTAAATGCACAACTGTCAGGGTTCTGATGTATGAAAGATAGAAAGGCAGGCTTGAATATGCTTGCTGATCAATGCCCAGGAAGGAAGACTGCTTGACAATCAATATTTCTCCATTCTTGCACTATACAACTCACACATGATTTTAGTCAAAGATTGTGAGCATAATTTCAGCTTACCGACTGAATGAAATAGGACTCATGGAGCGGGTCCATTGATAAATGCCTTCTGAACTTTGACACCTGAGAAGCAGAGTTTCCATCATCCAACATAAGAGGTCTGTAGAGAAAAACATATTATCATCACATCCTTTTCATTAGTCCATTAAGATTCTGTTTTCCCCTCTCATGTGATTCACAAGAATATTAAAAACATGCTGAATGTTTCTGTGAATGAATGTTGACTTCTTCTGGTTGCCAATTGACCAGAAACACCCAGGACAAGGGAGACTTGGTAAAGGGCCAGTTAGAAGAAGAGATTGGATTCATACCCCACCGTTCACTACCCAAAGGAGTCTCAGAGCGGTTTACAATCTCCTTTCCCTTCCCCGCCTCACAACAGACACCCTGTGAGGTAGGAGGGGCTGAGAGAGCTCTTTCAAGGACTGCTCTCGAGAGTTCTGATAGAGCCATGACTGACCCAAGGTCACACCAGCAGCTGCATGTGGAGTTGTGGGGAATCAAACCCGGTTCTCCCAGATTAGAGTCCACGCTCCTAACCAGTACACTGAACTGCTCTGACCGGGATGACACTGGCTCGCCTGATCCTGTCAGATCCCAGAAGCTAAGCAGGGTTAGCCATCAAAGAAGACCATCAAGGAAGTCCATGGCTGCTATGCAAAGGCAAGCAATGGCAGATCATGTCCATTTGTCTCTTGTCTTGAAAACCCCATGAGGGAGGGGTGGCCATAAGTTGGTTGTGACTAGACAGCACTTTACACACACACTGTTAAGAATTCTTAAACACTTGCCAGTTTGGCTCCTGTCCTTTTGGCCAGGAAGGGGAGGGGCTTAAAAGCAAGCATCATTCTGATAAGGTTGAAGTGCCGCGTTGGACTCAACATGGGTTTTTTTGCTGAGTCTGCAGGAAACACAAATGCTGTACGAAAAACAACTTTGTGTAATCCAACTATTGTTGCAGATTGCAGGAGAATCCAGATGGCACTTTGCCATGCAGAGTTTCCCATTCGCCCCACATGCTATAGGCCTTTTTTTTCTTTTTAAGAGGGCAGAAGGGACAAGAGGTCACCACGGAGTGTGATAAGCAAAAATCTTCATACCAGCCTTCAGAGAATGCAGGAAATATAAACACTGATTAGAAGAAGGGGAACAGAAAGTTTTCTTTAAAGTGAGAGACATTTCCTGGACAGCCACTTCCTGTGTCTTACAGTGACTCCCAAACTGGAGTGAAAGTTCGCTTTCTCATTCGCAGAAAAAAACACGAGTTCGCTTTCTCATTCGCAGAAATAAAACTCGAGTCCAGTGGCACCTTTAAGACCAACAAAGTTTTATTCAAGGTATGAGCTCTCGTGTGCACGCACACTTCTTCAGATACAGTGAAACGGAAGTTACCAGTCCATACAGGTAGGTAGAGGGGGAGCAGCAAATTAGCATACAACATCATGAAGGTGTTTAACAGGTGCAAGGACCATCCCTATATCCCGGTAGGATAAGTCTAAGGACCAGATGCTAGTGGATGGTTATTTCCACCACAACTGGCCTAGCCTACAGGCATCAGGCTGGCCAGCAAACTATGGTCCTAGATGAACCTTTGGTGTGACAAACCAAGGCTGTCCTTTCTGCATAGATATGGCAGGCCAGAAGCTCTGCTGAAGCTTCTACAGTCCCTTTTCCTCTGCCTTTTTGCAGTTCCCAGATGACGATTCTTAGTACCCTGAGTACCATTCTACAGTCACAGAATGCTCCCTTCATGGCCACTTGATGGTCCCCTTCCAGGTCCCACATGGCCTCCCAATAATAATAGTGGGAAATCTCTCTGTGGATTTAACAAGCAAAGGTTGCCTACCCTCCCTTCCCTTTTCTCTTCAGATGTCCTCCTTTCACTTCCCTGTATATTACCAAAACAAGGGTCACATCAAGCTGACAGGGTGGTTCTCTATGGGCTACTGAATAGACCGGGTCAGCAGCTCTGACTCATCAGTTTGTCCTCATTCACTGACTATCTCCATGGCGCCCAGGTCCGGTGACCCACCACGCCACTCGGAGCTGAGCTCACGTGTTCGGAAACGAAGGGCCAGCCCCAAACTAGTCCCTTGCCTGCGCATGCATCGCACGGAGGGCACTTACAGTTTTCTCTTTATTCCAGTGTTGCTGGGGTTTGATTGGAGCTGGCCAAACAGAAACTGAATCAGCTGTTGGGGGAAATCAAGGTCAGGAGTTTGTCAGTCAGCAATGATTCAGCACTCCAGCCCTTCATGGCTGTCCCCATTGTCACTAATGCTCATTGAAGATCTCTGTTTTGCCCTAAGTGGCAAGGAATGGGATCAGGAATTTAAAATATGGATTCTTGCGGGGGTCACGCTACATCATACAAAGCCCTTGTGTTTGTTGAGGGACAACACAGTGGCTTGGTATCAAACTGCCATGAGAGTTTTATGCGTCCCAGACAAAAGCCAGCTCTTTTCTGTTTGCAGCAATGGCCCATGGGAAAAAGTGGTTTCAATCTGTATCCCCCCCCCTTCACCATGGTATCTTCAAACTGTCCCATGGAGATGCTGTAGAGTCCATTGCAAAATTCACATTACTTACATAGCTACAGGAGAAAGCTTGAGAATACAAGGATGGTGCGGGGGTGGAGAAGGCCCAACCTTATCCTCCATGCGCTTCTGGGAGGCACAAAACTCCCATCATGCATCTGATGCACAGTCCTTGCCTCAACTCCCAACAAACACAAGAACTGGCCCCCAGATATGCTGTGATTATCCTTCCTTTAAGATGGAGATGCCATGGACTGAATCTAGGACACCTGCATGGGACTCGCATATGGTCTCCCATTGAGATGCAACCCTAAACACTCCTTCTGCAGGCTCTCCAATATCTGTCATTTGTATTTATTTTCTTTTTGACTCAGGACAGACACATTTGGAGCCACGTAATTCTGACGAAAACACAAGGTCACTATGTATAGGACATGGAACTCTTGCCTTTGATCCTAGGCATACTTGGATTCTAGAATCAGGCTCTAAGTTAAAGAATTCTAAGATGTATTGACTGGCAATTCTATGCTTAACAATCATGGCATGCTTCCCCACCCTGAGGACCTCAAAGAAACTGCAGATATGTGGAGGTGCCAAATCTCTAGGCAAGTTACATATGGCACTTCACGTGAACATAAAGCAGACACCAACTGAGAAGTTTTGCCCAGACAAAATTCTAGGAATCGATTCAGAATTAAAGGCAATCTCTTGTTCCCACATCAACAGCACTCAGACATTCAAATAAATTTGTATCGGAGAGCCTCCAGGTCTATTTCCCATATAAAAAGGCTCTTTATTTAATGGACCTCAATGGCATGTTACTATTTCTTCTATGTTTTATTTTAAGCATTCTTTTTTATTTTGCAAATACAGCCTCTGGAGTTTCTTTATCATGGGGACAGAAGGAAACTTTAACTCTTTCCACCCTTGCCATTTGCTCACTGGAAAAAGCCACCCCGTGTTGTTTTTACCTCCATTTGGTGAAAAAGTAAGAGTCACTGTAAGTTTTCCCCAACAGCTATAATAGCTGCTCATAGGGTAGCTTTTTCTGGTGATAAAATGCTGGGTATTGAAAGGATTAATGTTTCCCTTTCCTGCCCTGCTCTTCTCCTACTTTCTGACGCAATTCTGGCAGCTAAATTAGCAAAAGGAGAAGAAGTGCTGAAAATGAACCCTGTGTTGGTTAGCCCATAAGCCCAGCACTGCATTTCTCAGAGTTTCCTAGGAAAGACCTGCCTGGGAAACCCTTTTTGTCGCTGGTGCGGAAACCACACTGAAATAAACCTCACAATAACGCAAACTCTATCACACACAACAAACAGTTAAAGCCAGCAAGTGCCCACCACGTTGTGGCTTCAAGTGGCCTGGTGTGATGTTCACATTTACCTTATTGATGACTTTCTGGTGCTGCGAATGGTTCTGCCTGAGACACACCACTTCCCTCCACAAAACTTCATTCTGCCTGAAAGGAATACGGAAGCCCACAATGAGTTGTGCAACACCACAAAGCATCGATTTGTGCGTACTTGCGATACAAGTTTCAAAAATCACAGGAGTTGGTAATCTGGTTTGAGGCTTCATCTCCCCTGCTGGGAGCCCAGGTGCCACCTCAGAGCTTCTCAGAGCTTTCTCCTCTTGGTGCGCTCTCTCAGACCCTAACTAGCAATGCTCCCTCTAAGCTGTGGAGTCTTGTGAGCAAAAATTCTGCTTTGCGAGCTACTGGCATTAGAGCTGTGAGCGAGCAATTTGGCTACTGCATAAATTAGATTGCTCTGGAGCCATCCTTCCTGACCTAAGGCAATAATGTGTGAGCTGGAGGCTAAAAAACTGTGAGATAGCTCACACTAACTCACCTTAGAGGGAACATTGCTACTAGACATTTATAAATTATAGCGTTTGCCCTGGGGACTTGCAGCTATACTGCATTGTTTCACTTCCAAGCCAAAGGTAATTCAAAAGCATACAGATTCCCTTGGATTCCCTCCCCCCCATACTTTTGCTGCTCCTCGAAGGTCACTCCCCCCGCCCACATTGAGATCGTTCTGCCCACTCTGCACCTTCCGCCATCCTCCCCCCTTCATCGGTGTACAAGCTCCATTGATTACTTTCCCCCTCATTGTTTTAAATTTTAAAAAAATTTTGACAGGCAGCCTGAGCCTAGCAATATAAGACTATCGCTACTCTCGGGTTGCTGAATTAAAAAACAATTAAATGGGGGGAAGTTTTTAAAGAACTGTGCGAATTCTAGTTCTCTGCTGGTATTGACTTGAAAGGGGGATCAGAGAGAGGCAAATGGCAGCGTCCCCAGTGCAAAAATAAAAAGGTTTTCAGTGCTGCATGCAAACAAAATAAAGGGGTGGGGATTATCAGCATAGAATGAAATTGACATGAGTGGTAAAGAGAGAGAGAGAGAGACTGGGATGGGAAGCCTAAAGCTTTTAATTTAGTGAACAAAGTTGGGGGGGAGGAACTATTTTGGCAGTCTCCAGAAGCCTAACATTACAATGGCGGTTGAGCCACATGGACCTTCTGCAAACCGCCGAATTTAAAAATCGCTTGGGATTGACCCTTGTGGAGGAAAGAGGGCACTCAGCACAGGAGAGGCTTTTAAAAAACTGCCAACATCATGACCAGTGTGAAGAATCAAATGAGAGAATCACAGAGATAAAACAACACAAATTTGCAAGGAAGGGCAGGAAATCAGCGTTACTATGTAGCTGCGCCAGGGCATCGGCAAAAATACCCCCTCATTTTTTTTCAATTGAGTGGCACAAGACTAAAAAAGCTCTCCAGAGCTTCTGCCAGAGGACCCTTACCCCATACAAATTGCAGCCCTGAGCAAAGCATGGTGGAGTTGCAGCCGATTTTGTACAGGTGCGCGTGCACACATGCACACATGTTGCCAACAGACAAAGCTTGCAGTGTCAGTGTCAGTGGGTTCTGTCATGCATTCTGTACACTCAACATGTTACCCCATGTTATGAGATCATGTGGCTCCCATTTTTCACAGAGGCCAATAACACAGCACAAAAGCCCCTGGTACTTGGCAATACAGAAAACAGCACTTGGCAGTTGCTTGGCAGTTTCAAAAAGAGTCTTGAAAAAAGCTCTCCAGAGCTTCTGCCAGAGGACCCTTACCCCATACAAATTGCAGCCCTGAGCAAAGCATGGTGGAGTTGCAGCCGATTTTGTACAGGTGCACGTGCACACATGCGCACATGTTGCCAACAGACAAAGATTGCAATGTCAGTGTCAGTGGGTTCTGCCATGCATTCTGTACACTCAACATGTTACCCCATGTTATGAGATCATGTGGCTCCCATTTTTCACAGAGGCCAATAACACAGCACAAAAGCCCCTGGTACTTGGCAATACGGAAAACAGCGCTTGGCAGCTGCTTGGTAGTTTCAAAAAGAGTCTTGTCAGTTTCAATATTGGTTTTCCCCCTTTGCCGTGTTCCTTTCTGTTCTCTTCCATCCAACCAACTAACACTAAAATACATGTGCAAAACTTGAACCATGAGGATTTAAATGGAAAGCGCTTGCTGGACGCTACTGCGCAGCTGTGATAGGGCAATTGTGTAAATTAAAAAAAAACACACACACACATCATCAGTGACATTCCTACCCTGTTTTAGAAAAGTGTGTGTTTTTAAATTGTAGCAGCAGAATAAATACACCAGAGGAAAATGAATGGTGCGTAAGGAGGGCAAAGAATCCTAAGTTAAGCTTAAAGGCTCACTGCTCGGAAAATCTGAAGTAAGACATGCATGCGTAATGGGCCAGAGTCAGACCCTTGGTCTATCAAGGCCATTATCAAATCTTTCTCTGACTGGCAGCAGTTCTCCATGGTCTAGGGTGCCAACCGCCAGGGAGGGCCTGAAGTTGTCCAGGAATTACTACTGGTCTCTAGCCTAGAACGATCAGTTCCACTGGAGCAAATGGCAGCTCTATGGCATCATATCCTTGCTAAGCCCTCCCCTCCCCTCCCCGGCTCCACCACCAAATCCCCAGGAATTTCCCAGCCATGAGTTGGCAGCCCCACCAGGGCTTCCGACGGAGGCCTTTCGCATCACCTTCCACCCAGTCCTTTTAACTGAAGATGCTGGGGATTGAACCGGGGACCTTCAGCATGCAAAGCGGACACTCTACAACTGAGCCACAGGCTCACCCCATTGCTTCCCAATATATTTGCCATAAACAGACAGAAAATACTCCACTAAGGATTCACTTACTGCTTCATGTCCTGCACTTGACACTCCATCGTCTCCTGCTGACTCCTGAGGATCTGGATCTCATATAGTAGCCTGCTCAGGTCTTCCTGGCGCATCTTGGTTTCTTCACTTTTCACAACTGATACCTGGAGAAATCACATAAGCTAAAATGAAAGAAGGCCTGCACCAGGCAGAGGAGGTGTGGCCCAACAATTCAGCAAAATTTAGCTGCAGCCAGTTGAGGCCTTGTCACCTGTTTACATTTTTTAGGAGTACCCTTCCATTTCTGGAAGTATCCTCCTAAAAGCGGAATGTATAAAAAGTGTTTGAAAAATCATGCATTACTTGTCAGAAAGCAGATATGGCTGAAGCAACCCAGGGTGTGAAATGAGTTTGGGCATGACTGGTATGACTGGGAAGGCACATGATCCAGTGGTCTGGTTGACGCCCAGAGGGGAGACCTATTCTGAGTTCCACTGGAAGTACAGTGGGCCACAAATGTAATAAACAAATTAAACTAAGCTTAGTGACTTTCAAATTTCTTACCGAAATCAATGGGACATGCTTCTGAGTAAACCTGCAGGCATCTTCCAAGAAAGAAGCACTGGTGTGCCAATTTATTCATTTGTTTTTTTGTTTATTCAATTTATACTCCACCCTCCCCACCAAGGCAGACTGAGGGCGGCTTACATAAAATTAAAAACCGTTAAAACAATAAGTTTCTAAAACCGAACATAAAGTGCTAGTGTGCCAAGTTATAAACTGATGGCGGGACATAATAACAAATCGTCTTAATCATAGATCCTAATGGGGTGCAATTAGCATTGATGTAAAACTATCTCGGTCCCTTCACACCAGTGATGCACAGGCTGCGATGGCAATGCCGGGGCACAGGGGTCCAGCAGTACGGCTCCTTAATCAAATCCCTGGTGGAAGAGCTCCATCTTGCAGTCGCGGCGGAACTGTAAAAGGCTCCTGTGATCTGAAAAGTCCCATCAACTGAGGAGGCTGCCTGATGCATCTCTGCATGATTCGTTGCTCTGGCTTTGTCTCTTTCCAATTGGCGTCTCTCAAGGGTGTGCAGTTCTGCATAATCTCTGCTACGTAATTAGCAGCCCTCAGAGAAAAGGCACCTTAAATTGTGACTTTTCTTGACTGCTTCCCGTTTTAATTCAGATAAGAATTGTGCTTCGTCTAGCTGAAAGTCTGGGGAGGATGAGAGTTTAAGGTTTGGGACTCAGCAGCCTTTGCGAGTCACAAGACTGCTGTGGTTGCTTTGCAAAGACTGCCATTGCTTTAGGATAAGCACTAACTGTCTCTTGGCGTACTTATTCTCTATATGCTTACCACATACAGTTGTAAATTAAGAGGTAACTTTAATCAATTCTCCTGTAAGATTCTCCTGATAGCCAGCGTGGTGTAGTAGTTAAGTGCTCATCTGTGTTCAGGGAGGCTCGTGTTCAAATCCCCACTCTGCCACAGAAGCTTGCTGGGTGACCTTGGGCCAGTCACCCACTCTTATCCTAACCTACCTCAGAGGGTTTTTGTGAGGATAATATGGAGGAGAGGAGAATGACTGAAGTCACTTTGGTCCCCATTTGGGGAGGAAGATGGGCTACAGATGAAGTAAATAAAATAAATAAATAAGTAAATACCTCTTTGCAAGGGAATTGAACACACAGAGCCGTTCCCGAGCACTTCTGAATTTTGATTCAGAGAAGTGTGGAGCACGACACCAAAATCATCAGCTGGCTTTGTGAAATGCGCCAGAAACATGCATCAGCTCCTCGCATTCCTACCTTCCTTTTGATGTGTTCTAAAAGATGTTCGTGGCCTTGAAGGAAATAGAGATGCTGGAACTCGGTGTCATCTCGTTCAGGCTTCACAAGGCCTCCTTGCTCGATATTAACCACTTTCCTAAAGCCATCTAAATGGACAAACAGAACAGTGCTTAGAAGACTGGCAACCAGTTCACACATTACCTTTTTCTTTCAACTTAAGGCATACATGTTACACTCCAATCAGGGGGAAAGGCAGGGTGTGTAGAAAATGTTGGTTTTTATTTCTAAAAGAACACGCCAAACATTAACTAAAACACTTTCAGAACCAAAATCACTTCCGCACCGAAGTCTGCTAATGGCCATCTCTAACTACCATTTCTGTTTTCCTCAGAACACCACATGGTTCCATCTTAAGGGGGCAGTAGCATACAAACAATCAAACATAAAACCTACACCAGTTATTAGTCCCTGTCACACCTTCTTCCATATAACTAGGCTTGCCAGCTCTGGGTTGAGAAATACCTGAAGAATTTAGGGGTGGATCCTGAGGAGGACAGGGTTTGTGTAGGGGAAGGATTTCAATGGAGTATAATGCCATAGAGTCCACCTCCCAAAGCAGCCATTTTCTCCAGATCTGTTGCCTGGAGATCAGTTGTAATAGCAGGATATCTCCAGATACCACCTGTAGGTTGGCAACCCTACATATAAACCCAGGCAATTGTTACGTTATTGTGTGGAAGGCACATGCTGGGTGCCCCGGCTGTCAGCAAGAAGATGATGGTGATCCAGAAAAGGACCTTCTCAGTGGTAGGGTCAACATAAAACTTGCACCAACTATTACTCCCTTTCACATACACCTAAGAATGCAAAGGGCAGGTGCATAAGTAAACCAAGGCCAGCTCAAAGACAGCCAAGCACAGTCATTTTCCTCTGCCCCGAGATGGGTGGTGGGTGGGTCCACGGTCTTAAATGTTTCCACTATGCTCAGCTTCTAAATAGGTCAGAGGCAGTGCTAGAGAATTCTCATTTGGTACATCCCGGTCCTTCCAGGTTTAGTTTGTTAAACAATCCTCCTTTCTTGCTGAGACTCATGGCGAGTTACAAAACCGTAAACAATGCAATAGAAATGGTATAAGATTATTCCTCCTGTTCTTTTTCTTAGCTCTGTAAACCAGTAGGCATGATAGTTATTCTCCTTGACTTGTGCTCTGGCAATGAAGTTCTCCTGTTTTAGGGAGCAGTCTGCATTTCAGACTCCCCCTCGTGTGCCGTAATTGCTTGCTCGTGATCACACGTGCGCACAGGGGAAGGGCTTAAGTAATTGGTAAAGAGGCAGCCTTTACTACTGTTTTCCAAGTCACTGGTAATGTGGGAGGCTGGATTTAACTTGGGGTGGTCATAAACTCACCCTGGATCTATGTGTGTTTTGCATTTACATGTGTGTAATGTGTTTGTGTGCATGTAAAAGTGCTCCTCTTCTTCAGGCCAACCACCCAAGTCACATCCAGCCTCCCAATGAAAAAAGTCAGACGGTAGGCGATGTGAAAGACTTCTGTTTCAGACTTTGGAGAGCTGCGGCCAGTCTGAGTAGAAGATACTGACCTTGACGGACCAATGGTCTGATTCAGTATAAGGCAGGTTCACATGTCAATGTGAGAAGAGATCCTTGCCTGTAGACCTCCAGAATCCTGGACCAAGGTGCGGCTAACACTGTTACCAACACAGGTACCATGCAAGTATTCTCATCAAGATGATCTGATTGGCTGCAACTGTGTGTTAAGTGTTCACATGGTGGCAAATTTGGGTTTGCTTCTGCACAAACTTAGGTTTGTGGAATGGCTTTGGAAAGATCAAAGAATCAAGCATGGATTGAATTCCCTCTTCTGTTATTTCAAGCTGATAAAAACTGCTGTCGAATCCACAAGGACTTCCCTGTTGGACTAGTCCAACAATTCATCTAGCTGATATTAGCCAGTCTCAGCCAGTTCATACAACCCACTGTGCTACAAACAAAGCAAGACTTCACTGACTCCTATCAGATACGAATGCAGAGATTACACATTCAGTCACTGAGTTTTGTGCATTAGTTCTTAGATTCTGGGAATCGCATTTTAAAAGTTCTTAAATTTAGATTTCTATTTTTGTATTTTTGTATACTATGACTGGGGTTTTTTCTCTTCCTCACATATTTCACTTACTCTGTATGTTGGTCTTAAGACCGTAATAATAATAAACTAAACTAAACCCACTGTGCCAGAGTAAGCAGCGATTTTGGGGGGTTACATTCCTGGAATAGCGTATTCAATTATCCTAATTTTGGTAACCGATCTTAGGGTAGCAATCTTAGGGTAACATTTCCCAACCTGTGGGATACGATTCAAAAGTGGGTTGCAAAGGCTGTGAAAATGAGTCCTAAGGCTTTTACAGTCTTATTGATTTGTGCATGCCCGTTTTGTTTTGTTTTGAAGTGGGTCATCATGCTAAGTAAATTTGGATGTGTGGGTCACCACATCAAAAAGACTGGGAACCACTGTCTTAGGGGATAAAACCACACAAGGGCGTGGTAGTAAGATAAAGTCTAGGTCTGAAACTAATTTGCACACAAAAAACTAACCGTTTGCAGTTTGATATTCTCCAACTATTTCCCAAACATTTCCTGAATATTGTATCTGTATTTGGCGCATGGCCTGACTTGGATAGCCCAGACTAGCCCAGTCTTGTCAGATCCTGGAAGCTAAGCAGGGTCGGCCCTGGTTAGTACTTGGATGGGAGACCACCGAGGAAGTCCAGGGTTGCTACGCAGAGGCAGGCACTGGCAAAGCACCTCTGCTCATCTCATGCTTTGAAAAACTGACCAGGTTGCCTGAGTTGGCTGTGATTTGATGGCAGATTACACATACAAACCTGACACACAATAACTATCTGAATTCGGTATGTGTTATCTGATGGTTGATATCTGATAACTGCTATGCAGTGGTAGTAGTAACCCCTGACATGCTCTGGAACGGAAGAGCCAGTGAGGTGTAGTGGTTAAGGTGTTGGTTTAAGCCTGGGAAGAGTCGGGTTTCACACACACACACCCTCAGCCACAAAATTCTCTGGGTGACCTTTGGCCAATCATTCTCTCCTAACCTAACTTAATTGCCCAATTTTCTGGTGAGAATAAGATGGAGAACAGAAATATGAATGCCACCTTAGCTCCTTGGAGGAAGGTCAGGATAAAACTGTGATAGATCGAATGGAATAACTGTTTCCAACCTTTCTAACTTCGGGGGGGG